CTCCAAAAAAAAAAAAAAAAAAAAAAAAAAAAGAAAAGAAAAGAGCTAAAACAAAGGAAAAAGAGTTGCACCAGCAATAGTTTTGTCAGGGAACACAGTCCCATTGTGGCATATAGTACAAATTCCCCACAAAATGCTGCAGGCTCAGGTCAGAAGTACAAGCATATGTGAAGAGCAGTGGGAGAAGAGGTCTGGCATGAAAAAACATGTGCATCCTGCCTCAATATGAAGATCTGTGTGTTTCTGTTACTCCCTGAAAGGCTACTCCTGGGTGGTTCCTGGGACAACCATGTGCCCCAGGACCCAGACAGGATTCTCTTTGAGATCTAGAAGTGGTTTAGATATATACCCTACAGGCAGAAAAATACATACCACATAGCTATAACATATTACAGGAGTAATCCAATCAGAATATAAAGGAAAATATTTTAATATTACTATTTATTTAATTACCTCTATAGTTTCTGTTACCTTGCTTTATAGAAGCAAGTACTCCTTCAATGTTTACTAACTGAAATTAGGATATTGCAAAACATTTGACAACATAATTCAAGTTTAATTTGCTATACATACATACACAATAGATACAATAATATGGATTATAAAACTGTATGGCTTTACTCTGTGCACACACAGACATACCTACAGATATATATGAAAACCTTTGCTCGGTATGATTCTGGTATATGGGCCTAGTAAAGGTCTTACAAAATTGTAAATGATAAATTAAAAAGCACAGATTTCATTGTCTCTTGGTAAGGGAATCATGGAATCATAGAATGGTTTGGGTTGGAAGGGACCTTAAAGGTCATCTAGTTCCAACTCCCCTGCCATGGGCAGGGACACCTTCCACTAGACCAGGTTGCTCAAAACTCCATCCAGAATCATGTGAAATTATACCGAGAACACTGAACTATGGACTAAACAAATTATGATGAGTATCTAGGAGAATTTCACAAGTGAATCTTATCTCTTTCTCACAGCTATGCTGATTACCATCAGTTTGTCTGAATTATTTGCCTTTTAAAATTATTTTTGTTGAGTCTCAGCTAGTCCCTTTCCCTTCTGGTCCTTTTACCTAATGCTTATACAACCCAGCAGAGGCTGTTTTGTGGAATATTTGAACTTGAGCTAGTGGGATATGACCTTGCGAAATGTAACTTTTATTTCCAATACTGATATCTCCTAGAAATTTGATCTGTCTGTTTTTTAATATAGTGCACAGTGTCTGGATTTTGGTTTTTTTGCTCTTTGTGCATCATGGTATCTATGGGCACGTATGGCTGATACAAATTACAGGTATGTAAAGCCAAAGCATGGCTTTCAGTGTACAGTGGTTAATGAAAAGGAATGTTGATGAACATGTACTGTAGTGGGACAATTAAACACAGATCAATCCATCAGGTTTTTTTCTTTTGAGAATAGCTTTTGCTAAACAGAGAGATGAATCACTTATCTCTGACTTCTCAGTCTCTACAACACCTAGCCTGGCCATGGTAACAAAGCAGTAAACTCTTGGACAAACCATTTTCTAGGATGAGCAAGTGCAACTCATATTCAAGACAGCTGAGCTTTGTGCAGTGTGTGGTAAGAATATGAAACTTTCATTTTACTTTGTTCTCAGATTTGACAAATTAAGAAAAAATAGTTTATTTTCTTACAACAGGTACATTTGGAACACCTTTGCAAAACTATACAGAGAAAATTGGTGTCTCTGTATATATGTTACTTAAGAGATCCTTAAGATTTATGTCTGTACATCTTGACTCAACAAGGAACTGATTGTATATGACCTTACGTTCTTGAATAAATGACAGAGGGTCCATGTTACAAGTAGTAACTACTCTTTCAGTTAAAAACATCCTCTTGCATGATAATTGGTTTCTTTTGATTGGTTCGGAAGTCTTTTTACCCCACAGATACATACTAATAAAAAGAACCAGTAAAATTTAACAGTGACTGGTATAAGCAAATAGTTATGTCCTATAAATCTTAATGTAGTCATGGTAAATATATGATTTGCCATCTGCTTTTGTTTATATCAGGTAAGCAGAGCTGAAATTTTCAAACTGTGATTTGTGGCCGAAGGAGAAATATTTAGTCACATCCTGCTGGTTCTTGTTCTGTTTCTCACTGAGAGAACCTGTGTAGAAGGGGTAGATGAAGTGTAGAGTCAAATTTGGCTGCCTCAATCCTTTGAAAAAAAGACAAAATATTTAACTTAAAATGAAAAAAATAGTATTAATCAAAACACCAACAAACACATAAATGCTTTCTAATCAACACTTCTTTGTGAAAACAGTTGCTGTAAACTGCAAGCATATTGCTGTTTTATGTGTTATTGTAAAAGAGAGGAGAGATGTGTTTGTGACATGAGTTTGTCAGAGTGATAGTGAACAGTGTTTGCAAACCATTTTTCCAGAAGAATCCATTCTGTTAAAAGTTTTGAAAGGTCCTGAGCTGATCGATTTGAGCAACATGGAGCCTCTGTTAGAGTGTTTTTTCTTCTAAAGTTTTGTTCTGATGACAAGGCTTTGGGAATTGCGATTAACTGAGGCTTAGCCAGTCACTACTAGAGCTGCCAAGAGTGTACCATTTGCTGCTGAATTGGCCATGGCTGGACTGAATGGGGACCTGGTGTTTTCTACGAGCCATGGTATGGCAACAGAACATAAGCTTTCATTGCACAACAGCAGCAACAATAAACTTTGTGGGGGAGACAGACATGGTGTGCTCCATTGGAAAATTATGACTGCTTCCTATTCTACTCATTCAAAGAAACCAGGATCTGAAATTGCCTTTGCACAAAGAAGCAAGGAGTATTTCTTCTCTGAGGTGATGTAATCAAAGATACAAAGCATCTAGTCCCATTCTCTGTTTTAGTGTAGCAATCAAATTTTCTTACTTCACCATGGAATGAAGTATAATGCATCTTAGAATAGTACAAATCTTTCCTAGTTCCCACTGAGAAGGATAGATTTTTGTTTTCTTTCACAACCTGACCTGTTACTTTCCTGTAATCTTCATCTGTGTAAATTCCACAATGTAGTCTGTAAATTGATTACATTTCTTCATGATTTGTTGGGGAATAAGTATTACTAAGTCTGTGTGATTTGGCTCAGAATAACTTCATCTGATTTCAGGAAAGTTGTCCCTGATTTCCATAATTTCAATTGAGAATATAGAATCTGAGTAATGATGCAATTTAAATATTTCTCAAATTAGTTACTAGTATTTGAAAACTGTTAATAGCTGCAGTTGATGTAAGAGTTTTTAATTGATTATCTATACAAAAAGACAACAGATCACCTGCTGAACATGGTCTTTCCCCCTTCTCCCCCCATTTTTTTTTTCCTCCATGTTCTCTGGAGAAGTGTGCTAAGTAGCCATTGTAGCTGATAATATTGTTTCATCAAATTTATAAAGAGAGAATAATGAAAATTTTTCATTCACTTACCTTTAAAGTGCTCATGCAAACCTGTTATTAGGAAACTTACATTATTATGATGCTACTTGCACTTATTTTTGAATACGAATTACTGACCCACAACTGCTTGAAAGAAACAAAATCCTTCTAATCACTTACAAAAATACAGAAGTCTGCTCTTAAATTAGAGGATTAACTGGCTAGGATTGATTTTGCATATGGAATGGCAGGAGGAAAAGGGCAGCCTGAGTCCTGTAACTGGCCTTGTTTATCTCAGTGAGAGAGAGAGGAAAATTTAATCTAGTGCATACAATTTAGCATGAAAAAGGTCAAGCTGGTGCATGCCTGCAGGTAGTTAATCAGAAAACTGCTATAATTCCCAACCCAAATGATGTTAAGCAATAGAAATGCAAATACTGGCCCTTGCTCTATGGGGCTGATTTCAGCTAATATTCATAAACCCCTCTTGCTTCTGTCCTGAGTATTTTACAAGATACAAATGATTTTAATTAAAAAAGAGGGTGTCTGTCCACCCTCAGTTCTTTCATTGTCTCCAGTAGGGTTGGAACAGAGAGTACATCAAAGCAGAAGTGCAGCTGGGGCAGGATGCCTCTTGGGTGGACTCAAGTTTGTTTTAATTGAATCTAAAACAAAAAAAATATTGTCTGACACATGGCATGTGCCATCTGACAGGGGACAAAAAACCTCAGCTCAGTGACAACTGAGATGGAAGAAAGACCATGGCTGGATCAGCTGAAAGCAGCTCTTAGTCTAGGTGAGGGAAGTATGTGTATGCGGGAGTTACTGGGAAGTCTTTTGTAACACAACACTTCCCTCCTCTCTCCTCTCTTTTTCCCTTCTCCCCTGCATTTTACATTCTCTATCACTTTAAAGTTCCACTCTGCACTTTCAACTTGGTGCAGACCATCATGGAGTAGTGTAGCATCTGAGTCTGTTATTGTGCCTGCTTTTTGTTTTATAGGCTAGTAACCTGGGAAACATATTGCTTTTTATTTTTTTTTTTTTTTAAGACACTGAACATCTTTTAGTTATTTTCAATTTCCCAGATGTATACTGCAATTAGCCAATAGATACCATTCTTCTGTCCCATTTTTCCTTTTGTAAATATACACCGAATGGCTTCCCACCCACCCCCCCCCCCCCCAAGGTCTCATAGGAAAACTACTTTACTTCCAACCCTAATCTACATATACATTTCTGTTCATCTTGTAATGCTGCTTTCTGGTACTCAGTAGTGTCCTTTTCAAAACAATAAACCCCAATCCCAAAATAAATTGGACTCAACTCAAGCATTGCTGTTAAATCTTAGATCTGATTGGGACCCTATATGAGGCAAGCTTGGAATTCGCATTTCCCTTCCAGATGTCAGAAAATGATGTCCGCCTGCAAAACCCAAAAGTCTTAGAGCCGGTTGTACAAATGCAGCTGCTTTCTTATTTAGTGGAGCTAGTCGCTGCATATTATTCTCATTTTCCAAAGTCTGGCCTGGCTTACAGAGTTGCTTCAGGGCATAAAGCATTGATTTTGATCTGTAAACTCATGTGTGGTTTAGGTGCTGACTATCTATGGTCATCATCCTTTCACATATTGAGTGCCTTGTGGGAGGTGCAGAGTTCCTTCAGCTCACGTTGTATTTAAGGTAAGTGCTAGGTAAATGGAAAGAGGCAGCAGGGACCTTGAGAAAGCCTCCTCTACGCAGTATCATAATATACTTGAGCTTTGCTAGGCACTTGTAGTCTCCAAACATTTGGCAACTGAACTAGTCAGACATAATCTAATGTAAACCTCATTTATTTCTGTTCCCAGAAGGGAACAGATGAGGAGACTGTAGTAGTTTTAATGATCTTGAACTGTGTATGGATGTCAAGGAGACAATACTGTTGTTCGCTGTGGCACGTTTTTTGCTTTTTAAATGATGAAAATGTACTCAGACGGGGCACATTCAGGTCTGCTTCATGACTGTAGTGTGCAACAGCTTGTAAAGGGCCAGCACGAGGGCTCTGCCTCTGCTCCTTTCCCTCACCTCTGCCAGTGGCAGGGCTGAGAAGATTAAGTCTTGCCTCTTGGCTGAGCTGTGGGGCAGAAGCACACCCCCTCAAGGGAGCTCCGTGGTGACTCAGGCTGGCGAGTGGGTGTTCTGGCTGCAAAATGTGGCTGGCTATTTCCTGCCTGACTGCTTGATTTTGCTTACTGGTGTATGAAGCAAAGAGAGCTCTACAGCCACCTCTTCCTCTGCCTTTTCTGTATTTTCCTACTGGTGAAGCAACCAGTATCAAAAAAAAAAAAAAAAAAAAAAAAAAAAAGGAAAAGAAAAAGAAGGAAAAGAAAATATTGGGAGGGAGGGAGAGACATGGACAAATGCAACTTTCCATTTCCTTTTCATAAATCTAGAGGGAATCCATAAGATTTGACTCAAAAGGTCTAGCAAGTATTGACTATTTTCTGCACCCTGTTTAGGCAAAAAATTTAATTTATTTGAAAATCCACATGCAGTTTCTTGATGTCATTTCCATTGTTGTTGTTGTCTAGGTATCTACCATCCCATAAACAAATAAAAGTTCTGTTCCAGCATCAGAGAAGGTCTGCTCCAAATTCCACAGAGGATGACAAGAGCCCTGGACTGAGGAAGGGAGAAACTGTAAAGGTAAAGTGGCAGTACTAGACTCATATTTGGTTCTGTAAATAATCAAGTGCTTAAACGTAAGACCACAAATAGCTGCTTTGATTTAACTTAGGTGAAGAAACTTCAATGAGAAAGTTGGTATGTGTAAAAATAACCACATACATAAGTCTGCAGAACTAGGACTTAAGCCACACTCAGTAGTCTGTCATGATTTTTCAGTTACTTTTTTTTGTGCCACTTTCTGTAGGCTTAAAGGCATATTATGAATTCTGAATAAGAAAATGGTAACTTTGTCTAGAGTTTCTCAATTTACTTTTTTTTTTTTTTTTAATGCTGTAGATTTCATAAACACGAGAGACCTTTTGAAGGTTCTAACAAGTTACATTGCTGAAAGCAGATTTCAGTCCACACAGCCAAATTTCCTCATGAAGGTGCTCATTGTATTCCTAAATCCGTAGTTCTCATAATAGGCTTGAGTCACTCTGCCCAAGAAAGAAAAGGAGAATTGTGAGTCACTTGCAAAGAGGTTATGAAGTCTTGATCTGTGAAGCACATAACTGTCACTTTCACCTTTCCCTTAAGAGAGTCAGATTTAAGGGTGCAATGTGCTGCTTAGGTTCTAGACAATCAGTCAAAACTATGGCTGTTGGAGGATGTAACAGGAACACACGAATAAGACAAAAGATTAAAACATTTAATAAATGGTTTTTGAACAAGCACCCTTTTCCTAGTATTTCTCATCTTTCCCAGGAATGATCAGTTGCACAGGGAGCAGCACTAAGGTAGAGTGTAATGTATGGGTTTGGATGTGTCTTGGGAAAACTGCAGAAGAGAGCAATGGATTCATTCACAAAACCTTTCTGTTCCTAGGAACACTAAGGAGCAAAACCAAAAACCACAAAAAATCCCCTCCCGCGCCCCCCTCCCCCCCTTAAGCAAAGCACCAATGATGTGCTCTTCTTGCTGGTAGCTTGTCACTAAGGCCTGACAAAATTAACATACACACACACACACGAACACAAAACCTTCATGGGGATTGTTTGACTCCAACTGTGATTTTGATGACTGAATTACAGGGTTAAATATGTTGGCAGTGAAGGCTGGAAAACCGGACAGAGTACTGAGAAGCTTCATCGTGGAGAATAAGGAAGGCACTCTTCCCTGCAGGCCCAGGGAATGGTTCCAGGCGCCTGATGGGACTTCAGACTGTTGTCTAAGGTAGCAATGCACAGATCAAATTCAGCTTTCTCATGGGTGTTTGAGTGGGTGGTGTGGTGGGAAGACCCATGCAGCTGTGGATCCCTAGTTTTGTACCTTTCAAATGAATCATGACCATGTCTGCCTCTGCTATAGTTCAATGCCAAAAGTAAACCCAAACAGATCTCTAAAGACTCAGGAAGTGTGGGAGATTCATGTGGATTTGCTCATTAGGGTAAATTCTCCTTTAAATTGTGCACTATGAGACTCCTAAAGAGCTGGTCCTCTAGTATGTGTTTGCCTCAGTGTTGCCAGTGAAAAAAATACGCATCTAGAGAGGAGACAGAAAGAGTTGATTAACATTGTGTGGCTATGATAGAGTGGACTTATCTAATGTGCTTTTTCCAAATTTATAATACTAAGATTCTTAGACTGAAGCTCTCACTAATTCTAACACGTAGATGAGTAGCCTTTAACCAGGCTCAAGGGAAATGGTTCTCTAACTATTACTTAGACCTGTGCTGTGGCTAGTGGACATGTAAATGCTACAAGTATTTCATCTTAGTTTTTTTGAAACAGAATGCATTATTCTGTAGTTTGAATAATTGCCCAAAGAGATGTTTATAAAATAAGCAATCTGTTCACCATCATTCTGATTATATTGTCAGTCATTTGCCCAAATGCTTGGAAATCTTAGTGACTTGGAGAAATGCTAAAGCAAAATCATCAATTGATCAAATTATTAGGACATTTTATTTTTTTATTGATTTAGTTCTTATTAGTGCTATATATGCAGATAGTGCTTTGCACTGTATGAAGATAAGAATTTTGATTCTTTTGACATTTTGACTGATTTAGCTGTGACATATATACTAGGATTAAAAATTGCTGAGCAGAAGAGCAGAGAATTTTAATGTCCTTTAGCATTTTTTCTTTAGAAAATACTTTGTCTTTTGTGATAACTCAAAACTGTAGTAAAATTGTAGGAAAATAAATGAATAAATTAGGATGTCTGACATGAAAAACAGTTCACCAAAGGAGCTTCAGGAAAGGAAATAAAACAATGCATTGTGGAACAAACAGGATGCTACCAAAACTACACAGTATTCTTGGGACAAGCTGTCAACAGAAAGCAGATAGGCCCAGGTGTTGCTTGAGTAGTGCATCCTGCTTCTTTTGAAGTATTTGTTTTTCCTGGTTATACAGAAAAAGAACTGTGAACCCTGTGTACTGCAGGTCTAAAGCCAGGATTTTAGAAGTTACTCATAGGAGTTACTGCTCCCACAGCAGTGTCGACACCGGTGTTTGATGTGTATTTCTTATGTGCTGTACTTGAACAGTCAGTGTACATCATCTTATTATGGAACACTTGACTAGACTTTATGGAATATCAGGGGAGTTCAGACTGAATTTCGTGGGTGGAACTGCTTATACAGATGATATATAGGGAGCTGGCATGTTTTGCAAGTTATTGAAGATTGTGGAAATCAATCTGTTAATCACAACAGTTTTCTGTGATTTTAAATATTATAGGTATGCTGATAAAATACAAGTGTTCTGCAGTTTCAACTCCAGCTTCATCTTGGTGAGCCTGGAAGCAAAAGTCCAAAATCTGTCCTAAGCCTAATCTAGAAGTAGATCCTGATGTAAACTGGGTTTACATAGCTGAGTTAAGGTCAGTCAAAAACAAAGAGGAAAACACAAACATAAACTCTCCCTAGAAGACAGAGGGAATGCAGTGGGTGTGCTCATGGAGACACTCCAATATGAAAATAATGGAAATCATTGAAGAACTCAGTCTATAATGTTCTCAGTTTTTGTTGTTATACTCATTGCTAATGCCAGTGGGAAATTTTTCTTTTTAATTCTGGAAGAACTTGAAGGATTTGGTCTATAACAAGGACAAGTAATTAGAAATGGGGTACAGCCTGAATTTAGGAGATGATAGAGCATTTCTCAAGAATTTGAGGCTGCAATGTGATCATAAGAAATGAAGAAGGGATTTTATTAGTTTGAGGTAGAAGTAAGCTACACCTAAGTGAAAAATAATGTGAATAATTCCACAGAAGAATAAACATTTGAATTAGAATCCAGACATCAATTGACTCCTATCCAGTATTAAGTGGAAACACATGCTTTGTATTAGGAGCTAAATCAGGGTGGGAGGAGGAGGTGTAAAGAAGCCCCAAGCTCATTTTCATTTCAGGGTTATACTCAATCATGGACACTGACAAAATAATGCATAAAGTTGAGCCAATTCAAAACCCTTTAGTTCAAGGCTGAAACATTTCTCTCCTCTTCTCTAACTTTGTTCATAAACATGCTTCAGTCAGGTGTTAATTGCAATCCCCAGTAAAGCCTCAGAGCTGTGCAGATTCTCCAGGGGAAAATGACTGGACTCAGCACTTTGCAGATCTGTTTATTTTACTTTACTGAGCTTTAGTTACCTCAGCTGGCTTGCTACATACACAGAAGAGGGGAAAGCCCAACATACAGAAGAGTCTGGGGAAAGGAAAGAGTACTACTCTTCCAAACTGAACAGCTTACACGAGACTTCCTTGCCCATAGTGTGTTGATTGGATGTTGAAGTGTCCTTTCTCTGGGGAGCTGACCTTCCAATATCCTGAAAAGTCTGCTTCTTGCCAGGTCATTCTAAGCCATCTTCCCTTGTGCCATAATTTTGCAGACAAAAAGCAAACATGAGAACATCTTGCCACATATTATTTATTATTGTTAATATTAAGAATTATTTGCTAATCTCTGATGACATGATCAGCATGGAATAAGACACAGATAAGTACAGAGCATAACCTGAGGAGTTTATAATTTCAGAGACAAACATAGATGAGGCAACATGCACTTGGAAGACCCTGAAGTGGATGTTGACCTACTAAAAATATAGAATGAATTAACGGGGAGTGGGAGATGATTTCTTTCTGATGCAATCTGTTTTAAAGAAGTGACTTTTTTACTTGGGCTCTGTCAAGAAAATGTCATGAAAAGCGCGCGTGTCTTACCTTACTATGCCCTCTGGGAAATAAATAAGGCCATACTCTTACTTATCTAAATTGACAGACTGTTTTTGAAGCAGATGCAACTCTGTTAAGTTACATCAGGTGGGCATCTGACCACAGAGTTACACAGGCACTTGCACATTTTAAGATATGCCAACAAGCTAATTATTCTGAGCTCACAGAGGACTGAATATGAATTTGAGATCTTGTGTGTCAGCTTGCTTTCTCGTTCTTAGAATGTGGACTTTTCTGAGGTAGAGAAATACTGCTGTACAAATGAGGAGAAATTCCAGACATTTTTATACCACCTAAAGTGTGCAAACCAGAACAATTGATTCTTAAGCAAAACTTGTTTAGATGACACATTAACTTCACTTCTAACAGCGGCTACCTAGGTACACATATAACAACAAAAATATAATTTTTAATTAAGAGAAGAAATACATTCTTTTGGGTAACCTTTATTCCTCTCAAGTTTTTACAGAAACTTGACTGTTTTTACTGTTGGCCATTGCTTTCTGGAAATCAGACAAATTCACAGTGAAAAAGCTTGTCTATACAGGTAAATTACCAGCAGTAAACTGAGCTGTGGAATGATGTTGCATTATCTTCTCTGCAATAAAACCCCCTATGGATACTGGGAGTGCACACTAAGAGTTTCTTTGTATGAAGTGGCTTCCTCAACTGCATGTAAAAGTACACATGCAGGGAGCAGCCAGCATGGTGTAAATCCACACTGTAGCTTGTAAATTCCCACCCTACTTTCCTTGTATAAGCAAACCCATAGTCAAGGCCTTGCATTCATTCCACTGGCACAAACCTGAATGAATAGATGAACTTTACACCTTGCCCTGAAGGTAAACACTTTTGGGCTAATGTGATGTGTAATGGAGGGAATGCTGTCAGGAGTCAGGGCAGAGCTGTAGATAGTATTGGGAGACTTAGTAAAAGGACTTCAGAAATCCTCAATGGCTGTGAGGGAGAGAGGACATTCTCAATGTCAGAGGGAGAAGATTACTGAGCAATCCTGAAGAATTTAAGTATGACTTTAAATATAGCTGCAGACTTCTCGCCCTGTGTGTCATTCTTTAGTTTTTGAAGGGTTTTTCATTGTTGAATAGTGGATTTCTCTACCATTTTAGGCAGAATGAAAATTATTTATTTATTATCTTTGGCAGTGAAAGTTATAGGAGTGCAGCTGAGCTCAGGCCTGCCAAGTCTTATGTAGCTGAAAAGGAGACTTTCTCACAGAAAGCTCTGGGCCTTTGCTAAAAGTCTCCCTCTCTAGTGAGTATTCCTCAAAGTGTTTCAATGAGACATTTAAAATCTTTTTCAAGTACTTTGAACTATCCTTCCAAACTGCTAAATCTTGACAGCCCTGTAAGACACAGTCATCCAAGGCTGAGGTGATTCCCCTCTGCAGTAGAGTAGCAACAGCGATCTCATCTGCTCAGGTTTCACTGAAGGTCAAAAGCAGTCTAAAGATCAGGGGGCCCTCCTCGAGAGGAATGAGCATCTCCCTTTCCTCCTGCCACTGTTACTTTTGCAGAAATATACACAGAGCTGCCTTTCACTTTTTATTAGATTCTTATGTGAAAAGAGTATCTTTGTCCAAACATGCATGAGCCATCAGGCTGTTTTTTCCAGCCTCTGTTATTTGATGGCCTCAGGAACCCATCTGCCGAATGTGATTTTACCTAAACATCCATATTTTACTGTGAAGTATTTATTTTTAATTAACAGTCGAAGAAATTGCATGTGCTCAAAAGTCCACTCAATTGTCAACAACTGGGGCTACAGCAGTTTTGTTAAAAATACTCATTGAGAAAGCTGTGTAAAAAGCATAGTGTCTAAAAACTCCTCCCTGCATCCTTGAACATATGCCTACAGAGTGAAGTGGTGTTGTTTGTTGGCTGGGTGTTGTTGGGGAGATGACAAGCATGAACTAGCCTACTGTGGTAGTGGAGTCAGAGTGCTACTGTAGGCTTCAAAATGGGCAAAGCACAA